TTGAAAATCAATTTTACCAAATTCAATAAAAACCCGGTAATACAAATCCGACCACATCAAACTATGTTTGAGCCATTATATCGATAGTTGTCAGGAAAATGATCCTGGTTAACACACAGTTTTTGTAATTGTCTTCGAAAGATCGTTTAACCCTGTTTCATCCTTCACTTACAAGTTTTTCATTAAACCCTAAAAGGTTACATATATCCAATCAATTCAATTCACGTGATTTAGCAATAAAATCCGTAATTGGATTTCAATTAAATAAAGTCAGAACAGATCTAAATTTCAAACTTTGTAAGAAAAATGGGAGAAAATCCACATTATACCCAGTCATGGTATTTCTTCAGTTTCTTTATTAAGGTCTTGAAAATTTTCTTTTAATAACATGCTATTTCTATCAAGGGCATATACTTACGATCAAAATCAGCAGCAGTACCTTGTACCCCCAGGAACTCAAGCTTCAGATTATTCCAGCTTTTCATATGCAGCACCGGGCTCTACTCAATCTTACGCTCAGTATCAAACATCTTACACTTACTCATATCCGACGTCTACAACACCCCTATCAACAGCCACTTATCCTCCAGGAGTAACGTTGCCACCATCGCAAGTAACTTCTAATTTTCAACCCAATCCTCCCGGAGTCACATCAAGTTCCTCGTGGTATTCTGCACCAATACCAACTACGATGTCTTATCAAACACCTGCTTATAATCCAGCTTCATTCGACCCCAATGTCTATTATCAAACATATGGGATTTATCCGGCAACTGGTGCAGCTTCTGGAACATATCCAACTTATTCAGCAGCTCCATTGCCTGAGGCTAGTAATTTCACCCACAATAACTCATCATTGTATGTATGAAGAATTTTTAAAAGCATTTTTTTGTTATGTTTCTAAGTAATGTGTTTTGTAGTCCTATTGCTCCATTACCTGATTCTGGAACAAATACCGTCAATACTGTACAAAATAATGTTATAAATGAGGGAAAGTCATCAGAAGTTCAACAAACAACCTCCGGATTTGCGAACTTACAAGTCAATCCTAGTGCTAATAATGGGATTAACAGTGATGACCAAAAGCCAAGTAAACTATTAAGTCTTATATTTATGTGCTAAAATTTGATTGTGCTTACCACCTTTTTTTTTTTTTTTTTTTAATACTTTCAGAACCACTATATCGCCAGATTAAAATCCAGCAAAACAAGACTTTGATTAAAAATAACCCATTAGAAAGTCCAGAGCCTGAGAGTACAACTGAAGACCAACAAAGCTCAAATCAAAAATCACAGTAAGTGTAATTATGAAAGATATGATTAATAAGACTAAGAATTATAATGGTAACAGTAGTTTTCTCACATTTCATGAAACAGAAAGCAACCTACTGCTCCAAAAGAATGGCCTTCGAGTTTAAAGTAAACTTTCAGTTAAATTTCTTGTTCAGAATAAATGGATCAATTTTTTTATTTGCATTTGTTTTTGTTAGGGATTATGTTCAACGAAGTTTCAATGAGGCACAACATAATATAGATGCCGTTGAGAGGGAGTTGAAAATCATCATTTCCAATAAAATGTCAGAAGGTTTATTGTACGAAACGGACTGGTCAAAAATGGAATTACCGCAAAGTTGTAGATCATCAAGGTTATTATTTCAGTTATATTTTATCTCTTGATGATTTTATTTTTATACATATTTCTAAATACTCATATTTTTATATATTATTGTTAGTTTACTTCGGGAAAATGAAAAGCGGAAAAAGTAAGCAAATCAGCCATTCCTTTTGGTCCAAGTAGTATTTGTACAGGCAACATAAGTTCATATGCTCTAATTCCATGCTTATATATGCTTTTAGCTTTTTGTCTTTTAGTCAATCACCTTCTGATCGATATTCATTTGACAGTGATGAATGTAGCGAATCACAAAAAAGAGAAAAACGAGCCAAACGTTTTCAAGAGCATGAAAGAATTAATAGACCTCGTTGGGAGCCTCCTGTTCAAGTAAGTCTGTCTTTGCAAATTTTGCATAGTTCTTTTTTTTTCGCGAATATTTTTGAACTTTACTTGGTATTATTATCATTATTATTATTGCTATCATTTCCTTTCTACAGCAATTGGATGAGATTGATGTGGATCAAACAATTGTCGGAACTTGTCAGAAACTTGAAAAGTCATATTTACGCCTGACTTCTGTGTGTATATAAATACATGTGCATTGTACCAATAATCTTATTATAAATTTGTTCTGCTTCTTCTTTGATACTCAATTCGCTATACTAAATATTACGTTAACTGTAAGGCACCTGATCCATCAACCGTTAGGCCTTTACGAATATTAAAGCAGACTTTAGAGTTTTTAAAAGCAAAATGGGTCGAAGATCAAAATTATACATATATTTGCGATCAATTCAAATCCTTGCGTCAGGATTTAACGGTTGGTCAACTGTTCTATCTAATTTAATTTTATAATATTTGCAGTCTCTAATAAAAATGTATCTGATGACCCAAGGTTCAACACATTAAAACTGAATTCACCGTAAAAGTATACGAGACACATGCTCGCATTGCACTTGAAAAGGTTTATGTTATTATTTAAAAATCTATAAAATTTCTATGTATCAATTTAATTGATATATTTTTTATAATAGAGCGATTTGGGTGAGTACAATCAATGTCAAACGCAACTAAAGGAGCTTTATAGATTGAATATTCCAGGTTCAGTCATGGAGTTTATGGCATATCGACTCCTTTACTTTCTGTACACAAGAAATCGTTCAGGTACATTTTTCCCTTTGTGGTTAAGATATATTTATCAGTAAATTTAATATAAGTCTTATACCTCTTATTAACAGATATCAACGCTTTGATCGCTGAACTCACGGATGAAATGAAGAATGACGAAGCGATTAAGCATGCATTAGAGGTGCGATCCACTCTGGCTACATCAAATTTCCATAAATTCTTCCAATTATACTTAAAGGCACCTAATATGGGAGCTTATCTTATGGATCATTTCATTGAAAGAGAAAGAATTGCTGCTTTACAGACCTTATGCAAAGCGTAAGTACAAATTTTCGTCATAAAAAGGGATCTACTTTTTAAAATACATTAACTAATTTTTTTATACATAGTTTCCGTCCTACTTTGGAAATGGAGTTCATACGAACAGAATTGGCTTTCAATGATATGGAAGAATGTTACCAATTTTTGAGCGAACACAATTCATC